CCTGCTGAATCCAGAAGGAAGTTTCCTCTCTGTAAAGCCGTGATTTTGTCTCTTTGAGTCCTGTTTCTGCTTCACCTTTCACACGTGCTGCCTCAGTACTTGTCTTGCAAGCTGGCATCAGTTTTCTTCAGTTACCAAAGTAGTCCCAAATCACAGAGGCTGAGGCTGCATTCTGGATGTGTAGCGTAAAATGTACCTGATCTGTTTTCGGTTTTTATAGTGTGGTATTTTGCCAAATGCACTTAACCAAATGGAGAATAAGCTGGGATTGACTCTCCCAGGATATCGCAATAGAAGTGCTGTTGTGCCTGCTGCCCGTAGCGCTTTAGTGTAGTCAAGCGATGCCTCCCTCTGCCCTGCTGCATGCTTTTCTCTGTGCTGAGGTAACAGGGGACTGCTATCGAGGGGATGCAAAAATTATTCTGGGGGACACAATTTGGTCACTTTTTTAAAGAAAGTTGCTATATTCAAAGGATGAGTGAGACATACCTATTTGTAGTGAAGTCTATTAAACTTAACACTTACTAATGTCATTTGAATAGTGATTACTATCTTTGTGATAGAAATGTCAAGACATAAATTGCTTTTCTCTTCAGAAGCTGATAGAATGGTTTGCTTTCTCCATTACTTCTTTTGCTCAGACTTTTAGCTCATCTAATACTTGTGTATTCCTCCCATCAGGATTATAGAGTCAACATCTTTCTAAGACAGAAGTGGAATGACCCCAGACTCAAGCTGCCCAATGACTGGAGAGGATCAGATACGCTGACAGTGGACCCGACGATGTTTAAATGTCTTTGGAAGCCAGACTTATTCTTTGCAAATGAAAAAAATGCTAACTTCCACGACGTCACGCAAGAAAATATCCTGCTTTTTATATTTCGGGATGGGGATGTCCTGGTCAGCATGAGGTATTTTACTGATATATTCCTACTCTTGTTTTTTTAAATGACTTGATATGAGATATGTACGTTGTGTTGGACTTAGTAACGTAATACAGTTTATGACCAATATTTACATTTAAATTTATATGACAGTTTGTAAACAGTACTACAGTAAATTAAATGCGTGTAGAGAAATCAGATGAAGCATTTTGACAATTGCTTAGTTTCCTGGAAACATAATGAAATGGATAAGATATCTGAAGTAGAGCCGTCAGCAAAACAATATAATTTGCACACCACTTGTATTTCTACATCAACTAAGGAAAATTATGATTACTTTGATAATGATATAGGAAAAGGCAGAAATTACAAAATTTGTGAATATAAATGTTTTGTAGAAGTACTGGGACATAATCCTGACCAAGTTCTATGCCTTACTGGATATAGATGTCTTCAGAAGACCCAAAAATATTGTTTCATTTCATTGCAATTAATGCATACTTTTTGTGGCTTGACTTGGTTTATCAAAGATATACACCGTGCCATAAAAATAATCATCCACTGAAAACAGCAAATTGATTGATTAAAAAGGATCTCTTAGTAAATTACAGATCTGGAAAGTTTATAGAAACAATAATTTGCAGAGATTAGGCTCAATTTCGTAAGAGTGAAGTGCATTTTCTTCTGGTGTAAACTGGAACATATCACCCTGGTAGGGGAAAAATTTCCACCTGAATATTAAAAAACCCCTTAAATACTGAAAAAACACTTCTGGTTTAGGAAGTCCTTGAAGTGCAACCTCTGAGAGGCTGCTGGATATTAGATGAAATACCATTTCCTTAGTGCTATAGTCTCATATTCTTCTTCAGGAGTCTGCCACTGGCCACTGCTGGAGGCAGGACTCTCCTCTGTATGGACCTTTGGTTTGGTTATGTTTATACCCAGCATGTATTTTGTCCTGTATTAGTAGGTATTTAATTTGTGAACTACTGTATTTTTTAAAAATCTCTATCAGGTTTTATTCTCAGACTACTAGAGAGAGCTGAATTTCAAACTGCTACTTATTAGAACTTTAATTAATTTTTTTCTACTATTTTAGAAGCAGAAAAGTCAAATACCTGTGATTTTTTTCTTATTGCACTCTACTGCTTCCATGGCAGCTGACACTGGTTTTAAATTCCGTTTCTGCATTTTCAGATTGTCTATTACTTTGTCATGCCCTTTGGACTTGACCTTGTTTCCTATGGACACACAGCGCTGCAAGATGCAACTGGAAAGCTGTATGTAAATGAGTCTGCACAGAAAAACAGTCACCTTCTAGGCATGCCTGAGAATCAAACAAAAAATGATCAGTTTTGTGTTGTTTATGTCAATATTTGTAATGAATCTTAAAATTAATATTCACTGGTTCCTACCGATATACATTTCCCTATCAAAAGTTTTTCTTATGGCTGTCGCCATAAATATGCACTCTGTTTTTAGCTTTTGCTATCAAACATCATGACAACTGATTAGTTTTATAAAAATATTTACAATAATCTTAGTAAAGTGGAAACACGTCTCATTTGGAAACAAGAATCCGTGTTTTCCCTAGGTAGTTTTAACTTCCACAACCTGTGCTGCTTTGTAGGTTTGTTGGGGTCCAATTTATCCCCTTGCAATGATGATCACAGAATCACAGAATCACAGAA